CGTATATTAAGCGTATACAACAAGTGGACGATCAATTCTCCTCACGTCGAGAGGGGAAGAAGGAGCAGAATGTTAGCCGTAATCGTTATAAGAACATCGTGCCATTTGATCACACCCGGTTTGTGTTTCTGTTTATCTACTGCGGGCCTGCAATTTTACTTTTAGGGTTATTCTGAAAGATATACCTCCCAATGAGTCGGACTATATCAATGCTAGCTATATCAAAGTAAGTTCTATATTTACCTTCTGTCATCTCCGTCCACTGACAAAGAGAAGAATAAGAGTTTTGGAAGTAGGATGTTGCTGCGACGTAGTACAGACAATATAGTTGGCGTAACAAGCTAAGAAAAGATGGCCATGCGTATTACTTCGCTGGGAAAGCCTTTGTCAAGAAGGCAAAATAAGCGGCCGCAAAAAGTTTACTCGAAGTGGAATCCTAGGAAGGAGAGCAAGAACAATGTTCCGAACATCGAAAAGGAGAGCAGGGTTCGAGAACTTCAAGGGATGTCCAGAAGAGCGAAGCGTGCTTTTTTGATTTTTTCTAAGTTTCTCCAATTTGGACAAACGTAAGGAAAATGCGGCCGCGGGGATGCAGCAACTTTCATGACGGAGATTATTTTGTTTGATGGACTTTTGAAAAGCACCTGGTGCCGTAAGAGTGTGTGTGCAGTGGTTATAAATATTATCATGATTTTCAAACGTTTGCTACCGGACAGTATGCATCGCTTCTCAGAAAGTGCTATCGGTATCCTTCTCTAATCAGTGGGCGTATCAAGGGAGTACTGGAGGAATCTTAGCTTCCGATTCCGGACTAACTGGATCAGATGTTATAATTCTCAGCTCACTAGTTGCAGATACCAAAGGGACCACCATTACATCTGTATGCGGATCGAGAGTACATCTCCACACAGGGTTGCTTGCCGAACACGCTACTTGACTTTTGGAGAATGGTTTGGCAAGAAAATAGTCGTGTTATTGTGATGACAACAAAGGAAATGGAACGTTCGAGGGTGAGTTTTTTATCCTTAAGCACTTTTTCTCTGTCAATTCACTAATTTTAGAGCAAATGTCATGTATACTGGCCAGCCTTACGCGAAGAATTGAATCTTCGCGAATACATAATCAAGACTGTTGAGGAGGTCAAAGTGCCTGGTGATAATGGGCTTGATATGTTCATCAAGAGAAGATTTATGGTAGCCAAAAAAGGTATGTTTTTGGCTGTATCGCAATAGTCGAACGAGCTGAATACTTTGATCGTTTAGAAAATTTATTTTTTGGCATTCTTGTAGGTATGCCGCAAAGGGAGTTGTTCCACCTTCAATTTATCGGTTGGCCAGACCACGGATGTCCCGAGCATCCCGAGTCAGTACTGCGGTTTTTGGAAGCAGTGGATGTAGCTTGCAAAAAGGCGATCTCTACTCAGGGACCTGTCATAGTTCACTGCAGGTGATAAACCTTCAAGATCATGAAAGGTTTTCTCAAATTTGACTAAACATACGGATTGCAGCGCTGGTATTGGAAGAACGGGGACCTTCATTGTAATTGATATATTGTTGAATCAAATCCGCCATAGAGGTAGTTGCTAGAAACTGCCTCATTCTTGAAAGTCGTGAGACCAGTTTGTTCAGGCAGCTCCTGCCCTATAGATATTCCTAGGACTGTGATGAAAATTCGTGAACAACGTAGTCGTATGGTGCAGACTGAAGCGCAATATGTGTTTTTATATCGGGCAATTAGTTGTTATATTAGCATGATAAGCAGGGTAAGTGCAGCTTGGGTATCTTATAATATCTGCTCCATGACGAAGGCGGTCGTCCAAATAGGTCGAAAGCATGCAAGGCTGACGCGCACGCGG